GCAGCCCCCTTGCATTCTAAAGGAAAACACACTGACCAACTAACCATAGAAAAGCGGGGGTCAAGGGGGCAAAAGCCCCCTTGCATACTATACGGCGTCCGTGATTTATCCGTGATTAGGCGTCCGTGATTGTCCGTGATGTGCGTGATAAGTCCCTGATGATTTCCGTGATTGTCCGTGATGTCCATGATAAGTCCGTGATGATTTTCGTGATTTGTCCGTGATAAGGCGTCCGTGATGATTTCCGTGACTTGTCCGTGATAGGGCGTCCGTGATTGTCCGTGATGTCCGTGATAATTCTGTGATGATTTCCGTGATTTGTCCGTGATAGGGTGTCCGTGATTGTCTGTGATAAGTCCGTGATGATTTCCGTGACTTGTCCGTGATAGGGCGTCCGTGATTGTCCGCGATGTCCGTGATAAGTCCGTGAAGATTTCCATGATTTGTCCATGATAGGGTGTCCGTGATTGTCCGTGATAAGTCTCTGATGATTTCCGTGACTTGTCTTTGAAAGGGTGTCCGTGATTGTCCGTGATAAGTCCGTGATGATTTCCGTGACTTGTCCGTGATAGGGCGTCCGTGATTGTCCGTGATGTCCGTGATAAGTCCGTGATGATTTCCGTGATTTGTCCGTGATAAGGCGTCTGTGATGATTTAGGTGATTTGTCCGTGATAGGGCGTCCGTGATAGTCCGTGATAAGTCCGTGATGATTTCCGTGAGTTGTCCGTGATAGGACGTCCGTGATTCTCCGTGATGTCCGTGATAAGTCCGTGATGATTTCCGTGATTTGTCCGTGATAAGGCGTCCGTGATTAACCGTGATGTCCGTGATAAGTCCGTGACGATTTCCGTGATTTGTCCGTGATAGGACGTCCGTGATGATTTCCGTGATTTCTCCGTGATAGGACGTCCGTGATTGTCCGTGTGTCCGTGATAAGTCCGTGATGATTTCCGTGATTTGTCCGTAATAGGGTATCCGTGATTGTCCGTGATAAGTGTGTGATGATTTCCGTGATTTGTCCGTGATAGGGCGTCCGTGATTATCCGTGATAAGTCCGTGATGATTTCCGTGACTTGTCCGTGATAGGGCGTCCTCGATTGTCCGTGATGTCCGTGATAAGTCTCTGATGATTTCCGTGATTTGTTCGTGATAAGGCGTCCATGATTGTCCGTGATAAGTCCGTGATGATTTCCGTGACTTGTCCGTGATAGGGTGTCCGTGATTGTCCGTGATAAGTCCGTGATGATTTCCGTGACTTGTCCGTGATAGGGTGTCCGTGATTGTCCGTTATAAGTCCGTGATGATTTCAATGACTTGTCCGTGATAGGGCGTCCGTGATTGTCCGTGATGTCCGTGAAAAGTCCGTGATGATTTCCATGATTTGTCCGTGATGTCCGTGATAAGTCCGTGATGATTTCCGTAATTTGTCCGTGATAAGGCGTCCGTGATGATTTCATTGATTTGTCTGTGATAGGACGTCCGTGATGATTTCCGTGACTTGTCCGTGATAGGGCGTCCGTGAATATTTAGTTAACTCATAAAACACTATGGCAACAAAGATATTGTCTTAAAGGTATACCAAGATAAATACAATTTCCACTGAAAAACCTGTAAAATTTGAAGATTTTTGGAAAGTGAGAATCATGAGTGCATGTTAGGTATTTTTCAAAATTACAAACTGCATTATTAAGAATGACATTAACAGCCTTTGGAAGAGTTGTTTATGGTTTCTGTTGGTCTCTTCACTGTTTTGTAAACACATTGTAAGTATACCATTAGCAGCATGGTAGGGTCACCGTTTGGGCCATGATTTCGGGTTTACGTGGCCCGAGGCAGACTTTAGCTAAAGCCAACGGGACATGCACCAGTCTATATACAGTAGCACTACTCTACCGGTGTAGACGAGTCAGACAGGCCAGCTGGACCCATCCCACCCGGGCTACTGGTTTGCTGGACATGCGTCGGCCAGCCATGCCCAGCACTTTACGTATTCTCGTCACTCCGAGTCTCCATACCTCTCACTTCCAATTTTATAAGCTGTAGGCTTGCATCCGAAAGTGTAGTGTTCTCTTGATCAAACACTACTAACCCATTCTGGTCCAGGCGGGCCCGTCATACCTTACACCTTCAACTGCTGGACCACTAGACACGCATTTCAAAAAAAATGACAATTGAACTACACAAATAATTTTGTGGCATGAAGCTGGGGAAGTCGGGGCGACCAAACGTCATATCTACAGCACATTCACCATAACAAGAAATTCTCAACGACGTGTGCCTGCAGAAGTGGCGTATCTGCGAAGAGGCGCGCAACACTGGCGGATCTGCGCCGGCCCGGCCAACACTGGCGGATCTGGGAAGGGACGGTCATCACGGGCGTATCTGCTTTTCGGCTGATCTGCACAGTCAACTTTGGAGGCCTATTGCTCATCGTAGGCATGTCGTACAGTATTGACTGATGCCTCATTGCAATGTTTATATCCTCGTGATTGAGTTTTGATATCACTCAACACTCTACGACATTCCTACGATGAGCAATAGGCCTCCAAAGTTGACTGTGCAGATCAGCCGAAAAGCAGATACGCCTTTGATGACCGTCCCTTCCCAGATCCGCCAGTGTTGGCCGGGCCGGCGCAGATCCGCCAGTGTTGCGCGCCTCTTCGCAGATACGCCTCTTCTGCAGGCACACGTCGTCAAACACTTTACTGCAGACATAACAGCAAATCTCAAACGCCGCAGCTAAGACAAATAACAGACATAATAAAGAAATTACAGACAATCATGAACGCACTATCGAGAATAATGCTGCAGCAAACAAGCCGAACGCCCGTCTGGTGGGCACGAACGCGTGATGGGAGAGTCGTGCGGGTTTGCCTACGCAGACAACGGCAGGCGCCACAGATCAACACATCGTTTTGACAGTCACAATTCTGACCGATTAATAAACATAAAACACATTTGAAAGATAAAAAGTGATAAGACTTTAATGATAATACATTACAAACGTTCTACCTTTTAAGGTATTGATAACTCGGGAGTTCGCGAGCGACGCGAATAAAGAAATGATGTCCGATGTATCATAAGATTGAATTGGAATGGGTAGGGGTATGGGGAATGGATATGTTTCGCGCCGCGGAACCCCCTTGGGGGTAACTAGTTACCATGGCCCAGGCCCGCCCACGTGGAGTGAGGGGGGGGGGCTTTCGGTCTAGCGTCTTTCGCGGTCCGTGCAGATAAGAGTCCCCTAGGGTCTCCCTGGGGGCATTTGCAAAACACCCTTTTTCAGGTAGCCGACCAGGAGCCTAGCGCTTGTAGGCCGGCGGATAGGGATTCGTGGGTGGCGGCGTAATAGAACTGACACTATCTCCATAGTGGAGCGCCCCATTCGCCATAATCAATCAATCAATCAATCAATACTACGGGTCCGCTTATGGTTAACAAGAATTGTTAACGTATTTAGCAGATGATACCACACACTTTAACTAAACATAACTACGAATACATTAGTTAAGGAAGGTGTCATCGGCTTTAACTCTCGATTTTAAAGAGAACCAATAGCAAGCTCGGGTGGGCAAAAGGCTGAGTCGTAAATAGGCCTTCGGCCCCTCTCGCGCGCTCCACCCTAATCCGCCCGTCCCCCCTCCACTCACGCCCGCCCGGCCTAGTTACATGTTTCTTCGCACAAGCATATCATTTTCTTGGGATAAACAGAATGTATCAAGAATATTTTCTTCTTGTGGGAAGAAAACCATGTTTCTTCGAACGAGAAAAACCGTCTTCACTCGAGAAAATTATACTCATCCCAAGTAAAACTGAGTCAAGAATATTTTTGGGATTGGGGCAAGAAAATATTTTTGAGAGTGTAACGGAGTGTAAGCCCGCTTTAATGCTGTTTTAAAACCAGAAGGGCGAGCTAAAGAACAACGCGTCCTTCGGCCTTGCAAACACAAAACAAATACAGTAAAGAACAAGCGAATTAATTATGTAGCGAATCAATTTGGTACAACTTGCAACTCGTTTAGGCCTGTTCGTCACGTTGACTTTTCATTAACATCAGGATCAAAGAATAAGTGGCGGTGTGGCGATAGCGTCATCGAATACGTCTCTCAAAGACAAAAGGTTGCAGCAAACTTCAAAAACTTTAGAAGTATTAGCACATTTTTGTGGATGCAAAAAACATTTAATGTATTTCAGAAGTCGATAAAATTACTGTTTCTAAAACATGTATGTGTACATGCCAGGACGAAGACACAAATGAGTACGGACTTAAATGTTAATTTTGTAGTTTCAAGATGACTTAAGTCATCGCAGCAATATAAAATGTTATACACAAACTTCTCTTTTTATATCCCTTTCTGTTGAGTGTTGGTTGAGGAGTGCTTCATTCTGAAACTAAACGTCTTTCCAAAGTCTTAATGATCACCACGATTGCAGAGTTCTGGTGGCCAAACTGATGCGGCTTCATCGTTCGAACGGACTGGACCCAGTAGTTTTGAGGAGGTACGAACCGTTAACCCTGTTAAAAAGATCAATTGGTAATCGTAATGTGTAGGTGGGATGGCGAAACTGGACTTGAAGAATTTCTTCAAAAAAATATCATTTCTGTACAAATGCAATTCTGATATATTCGAATCAAGCGGAAATAGGCAAAAACTTCGGTAAACATCAGTGAATTTCAGTGAACATAATTGAAATTCGGTGAACTTCGATCGCAATTTACAAAGTTCGGCCTGATTGTGAGCTATAAAAGCAAATATCTCTCGTCCATAATCTTTGTAGTTCGATCTGTAGATATCAATTTGGAGTAAGATGGGAAGTCGCTTATAGTTAGTACCCAAAACGTTCAGCCGTAGATATTTTCTTCATTACCTTGCAACATTTAAGGGGGCAGACCTGTGAAAATCATCAATTTTTTTTTCAATGCCTCAAAAAATTCTGTGATCTTTCCTCTTTCTAATGCCGCAAAGCGGATGTTGAAATTCGAAAAATTGGGCTCAGGAGAGAGAAAAACGTGCTTCGAGTGGCCGGGTGGCTGGACCGCTAGGGCTCGCCTGGCCGCTCAGGACAGGATACACGACGAGGAAGGAGTCCTCTAGAGCCCCG